AACGGGTCGTCCATTAGTACGATATCTGAGTTGCGATACAAAGCTCTGCAAAGAATGTATTGTTTTAGTCAATAGGACTGTGGCATAGACTACCGGTGCCGTGAATGCCATACCGGGCCAAAGTGATCCTAGCCTTCTGTCCACCCGATAGTATGACTCCTTTCTCTCCAACTAATGTCTTGTCTCCGAAGGGAAATACCTGGAGATCCCTTTCCAGAGCACAGACATGCACTACCTGTATATATCGGTGCTCATCGTATGCACTGCCAAACAGTATGTTATTTCTGATGCTATTATTGAAACTCCAGGGCTCTTGTGAGGCATAGCTAATGGTACCCACCGTTTGTATGCTCCCCTCGAGCACCGGTAGCTCATTAAGTATAGACATGAGTAGTGAACTCTATAAAAATAATTTATAAAATAGTTTATTTAAACTTTAAATTATTTAACTAACGTGTGGTTTAATAAACAACACAAACATACCTTTCCCGACCCTACCGGTCCAATCACCGCTAATAGATCTCCAGGATTTAAATGAAATGAAATGTTTTCAATGGTCGCAAAAGGACTATCCTGATCACATATAATAAATATGAGCTAGTACAAAAATTAAAATGAGTACTATACTCCATACTTCACTCCATTTGGCGGATATATTATTGACAAAAACTTTTGGTTTTACATTTGTCATGTGTAGGGCAGTTAAATTGCCAAAGTTTTTAGTGTTATATGTTTTAGGCTCCATTTCCCCCAATTCCAAGAATGTCTAGACAAATATTTTATATAGTTTTCAATAGTTTTGTTACAATTAATTAACAAATGTGTATTTGAAATATAAGTTATTGTCGTAATTAATTAAATAATTAAATCAATAGGGGTGTAATGTAAATACTGTACTAATATTGATTTTAGTAACCGTGTTCATTGATTATCTAATTTATAATTATAAACATATTTATAATTGTTTATATTACATATTGTTTATGTTCAAGTAAAAAGCTTACAATCTCTATTTATTTTAGTTGGTTTATAGTTTATAAATAAATACCTGGATGCGAGTGCACGACACCGCGAGTTCAGCGCACTGGGCGATGGCATTGGGGAACAGTAGTGTCAAAGTGGTCCTGAGTCTATTGAACAAGGTCATTGTGACGAACACGGTTTTTGCGGTCAATAGGTTCCCGGTTAACACATATGCGATAAAACACGCGAACAGTATTATACGGGAGGCCACCAAATATACCGACAAATTGATGGCCTTAAGAAAACAGGCCATTCGTATACGATGCACCTCGTTCCTATAGTAAAGATCCTTGGTTATTCATCAATGGTTCCTAACGTTCTAGTACAGTTATATTGCAAAGTGCATCAAGTTTTTATAAACTATTATAAGATTTGCATAAAAATTTTAAAAGGTTATAAAGTACAGTATTACTATGATATAATGATCAGGGACATACTGTCTAGCGGTGGCCACCAGTTTGGCAAAGGACTGCTCCCAGGCGTACATTTTGATGACTCGCATCCCCGATATAATCTCATTCATGAGCCGCAGTCGACTGTCCGT